GCGAAGATGTGAGCAGTTACGTTCTTCTGATGCGCAACCAATACTTTGAATAATTCTTTGATTGCACGGAAGAACTCAAAACTAAGAGGTAATTTGATAGCTATTGGAGATGAGGTTTGTTTAAGTGATATATAAAAAATTTTATCTCACAAATGAGCTCTAAATATATTTTAATATATTTAAAAACCTATGTGTAGACTTTCATCAAATAAATGTTTCATAGCCGTTTATTTTGCCTGCTATACGCTTTCAGCGCCGCCTTATATTACGTTCCACAGTTGTAGCTTAATGTTTTGCCTCTTTTCAAACTTTTTGTGGCACAAAATATCAGTATCAATGGTTCGACGGATTCATTTGCGTTTGAAAACTGATATCGTGTTGTTTGCGGTTTTGTGTATAATAAATATGACATAAAGACCCCTTTTTCCACGCAACTAATAATCATTGTGGAATGTGATTATAAGCAGATTTGATGAACTGAAAATAAATTGTTTCTTGTTTGTTACATTTATATTCGATTCATAGTGAGATTCAGCTGTCTCAAAGTCATCTCAATCCCTCGTTTCTAAAGTGAATTATTATTCAAAATATTGATGTTGTGTTTTTTGTATTAGAAGATCATAGTGTTGTTACAATGGCTACAAATCTCATGACTGAACCCTGGTTTCATGGCTCTATATCCCGACAAGAAGCAGAAGAACTCCTTTTAAAAGCAGGAAAGACAGACGGACTYTTTTTAGTACGTGAAAGCGTAACACAAGTTGGAAGTTTTGCTCTTTCAATGTGCTTCAACAACAGAATTATCCATTATCACGCTCAAAGACAACCAGATGGGTTTGTAGCTATTGAAGATGGACCCAAGTTTCCTGGCCCAGTAGAGCTTGTTCATTATCATTCATTGCAATTGGATGGYTTGTTGTGTAAGCTTCTGAAACCATGTCTTCGGCCACATGGGGTTCGTCCTAAAACATTTTCTGGAGTTCATCAAAAGCATATCAAAGATGCAGCAGAAAAAGCTCTGGAGTCCATGGGTGTAGTAAGTCTACGTGTTTAAAATACATCTTTCCTTTTGACCAGTCTTTCTTCCTCTCTCTGTTCTATGTTATTTCCTATGTTCCATCCTTTTTTTTCTATAATTTGTACCCTCCTTCTTTCCTATCATCCTGTGAAGTTTTGTCTTTGATATTTCTTGATGTAATTGCCAGACATTGGAATTAGGTCATGGATCAACCCTTGCCAGTCCCAACTGAATCATGAATGATCAATTATTGATTATATTCTTGTTTCTCAATGTGATTTTCTACAGGAAAATGACACAGCAATGCAGAGGCAAATGGAGAGTTTCATTGGTAAAGTTTTACACCAAAGTGAACTCTGGTTCCATGGCAATATCTCCCGGGAAGAAGCAGAGCGAAGGCTGCAGCGCTGCGGATGCACAAACGGTCTGTTTCTTATCAGAGAAAGGAAGGCTCCACCTGGAACATTTGCTATGGGACTGTGCTACAATGGTAGCGTTGTTCACTACCTGTTTGATGTTGATGCMACTGGACAGTTGTCAATTCAGTCTGGTCCAAAGTTTGAAAACTTGATGCTTGCTATTGATCACTACACCTTGCACAATGATGGGCTTTTGTATAATCTTAARGAACCCTGTGATGCTTCACTGTTCGAAAGTCGGCGTAGGACTTTGCCACGCCCAGAGTTCCAGTTTCCTGGACGACCAGCAAGTAGATCATTTGGTGAAAATGATACAACACCAAGATCACCCAGTAAGTGAGCTCAAT